TAAAACAAATAAATTTAAAAGGAACAATATATAACTCCTGTATATAAGAACAACATTTCACAACTCACACACTCCCTAAAATATTTCATAAGTCAGTTGGTAAATAATAATAATAATAATAATAATAATAATATCGAAATTCTTCATTTCAACATTCCTGACCTGCAAAGGAACGGGTTTCTTTTTCCTCTGTTGCCCGGGTATAAGGAAGGTACGAGCACCCCGTAAAGGACTAGTTAGCTATCCCATGGCTACTTTCTTTATGTTCTATGAGAGAAAGGGGTGTGGTTCAATGAAAACAAGAAGACCGGGAAATACCAGAAAGAGTTGCCAACGTTGAGGAGAAATCCTTTCCTGAATGATGATCGATGATCATAGGAATGCTTACTACGAATAATAATAATAATAATAATAATAATAATAATAATAATAATAATAATAATATTATTATTATTATTATTATTATTATTATTATTATCTGCATATTCATCCCCATCCCACCCCAAATTTTTTTCCTATAAATTGAAAACGGGAAATTACATCCCAACCCACTCCAATCCAACCACCCGAACCATCTCATCCGCAGAAAATTTTCAAAAATTGAAAATTGAACATTACACCCTGCCCTAGGGAACAACCCTACGACACCCCCACGCTACTGCACCATGGAAAAGTCTTCAAAAATTGAAAACAAATTCTCTCTATACCCCGACTCGACCCTCACTGTAGAAAAATCTCCAAAAATTGTGGAGGCGGTAGTGGTGCATTTTAGGTGACAAAATTTATTGTTTGTGACCATACTTTTGTTATACGTGACTCTTCGTGAACAAATTTATCTACGATGGGACCGTCTAATTTGTGGTTGTATGTAATCAAGTTACTGACTTTGTTATCTGTGATCAAATTGGTCTTCGGTGTGGGTAATTATGATCAAATTTGTATTCAATGTGACTGTTAGTGATCAGGTCAATCTTAACTGTGACAATATGTGACTAAGTCACAATTAATCACAATTAATACTAAATTGGTCATAACCAATCATAATAACTACATACTTAGTCACATAAGGTCACCACAAACAAATCTACTCACACAGAAGACCAGCACTACAATCCACCACCAATCAACACCACTATCACCTTCAATGCACCACCACAACCACCTTCAACCCAAATCCATGACCATAAGTACTACATTCATCTGAAATCCACAACAACAATCATCACCGCCATCATTTTCACCCACACCTTTAACAAATACTAACCAATACCACCGCACTAACAAATGTAGATCAACACAATTGCAAATTTACACCCCCTGCATATCTACACACTACAATCACATCTACCATTGGAGATTGTGCTCCATTGCAACAACTCCAATTGGGCCAAAGCTTTACATTCTGAAGGCTTAATAAAATTAAAAATGCTACACTTACACTTTTATTGACATCTTTATTAACACTGTGTGATGTGGTAGATAATCTACCCATTTATTCGGATAACAATTATTCAATTGAATGGTCAGTTTTTTTTTTTTTTTTTACATCATATAATGTCAACAACGTATAATTTGAATGTACAAATAGCATTGTCCATAAAATTATTATCAGCTCCTTTAGCACTAACTTGACCATTAAATAAAATCCATCACCTAACTTTCAATAGTTGAAAAAAAAAACAAATATTTTTATTTACTTTCCTCATAAAATATGGAAAATTGAAAATCTAACATATAAAAGTGGAAATTTCACGAATGCCTACTTTTAAAGATTGCATTTTAAAAATCAGAATTATAGTTTATATATTCAAAAATCAAAAGATAATACAATTTTTAGTATTAAATCACACACATCACAACCTTAATATTCATATCATTTTGCTCCTTAATCTCTCTCTACTTTACCTCTTATTCTCTCTACCTTATCACCACCACCGGAGAAAGATGCCGGAGAAGAGGGAGCAGCGATGTATGCCGCGAGAGGCATTCGGAAAGGCTTCTCTCTATTTGCTGCAGCACAACACAAACTCTGATCATCGTCTCTATTTGCTGCAGATCTAGTATTATGGTTAATTGGGTGGAAAAATTAGTTTGTGGTTTAAGTAGAAGTTTTGGTGAAGGCTAATGAATGGATTCAAAATAATGTTATTGACTTACTCAGGGTTCTAAATTTTCAACGGCTTTCACGCTAGGGGGTGCTCATCCACCCACTATAGCTGCCTTCTTGTTACGAACAAATGACCAAGCAAACGGAGGCGAAGCACCGGTGACAAGAGATTTTAGGGCTTTTTTACGATGACTGTTGTGGCGTTTTTGGTGCAATGGTGATGGCAGTGCATTGGTGTTAGTGGTTGGTGATTTTTAGGACTTTGTTGGTGTTTTTGGAACTGTAACAAATTTGTTGGTTATTGGAATGGTGATGGTTTTTGCTGGAATGACAAAGGTGATATGATGGTGGCGTTGTTGGATTTGGTGGTAGTAGTAGCGGTGGCTTTTTTGGATATGAATATAGAAGTGGTTGGTTGGTGATGACCGTGGAGTTGGCGGTGGAACCATCAATGACGATGGTTTTTGTTGGATTTGGCAGTGGCGGGCAGTTTTGCAATTGAAAATAGTGGTTTGTTGATGGCTGTGGTGGTGATCTAGAAAATTTATTAATTCGTGATCAATAAATCGTGTGATCTAAACATAGGGATGGCAATCGGATTTGCCGGCTCGGGCCACCCGTGACTCGGCTTGGGGCTCGGTAGACTCGAGCCTAGGCTCGAGTCCAGCCCCATTTTGGGGACACGAGCTTTGCCCGAGTCAGCCCGTGAGCTCGCGAACTTTATAATAATAATAATAATAATAATAATAATAATAATAATAATAATAATAATAATAATAATAATAATAATAATTGAGGCTGCCTTGGCAGCGAAACTACTACCTTTTAAGTTGCCAGGCAGCAGCTTAGGAAAAAAAAATGGGGGAGAAAATGAGCCCGCCCGACTCGGCCAGGAAAAAGTCCGAGCTACTCGGCTTGGCTCGAGCCCGCAAAAAAGCTCGGCCATTTTAATCGGGTAGAGTCCGAGCCGAAACTTTAGGCTCGTGAGCCGGCTCGGCCCGACTCGTTTACATCCCTACCTAAACATTTATTAAGTTATGACCAATAATTTGATAATTTATCATCATAAAATAAGTTGTGATTTATAAAATTTGTGATTTGTGATCACGAAATAGTATGTGGCTTATTAATTTGATAATTTTTTCATTGAAAAATAAATTATAACCTATAAAATTTGTAATTTATGATTGTGATGTTTGTAATTATGACTAACATAAATGTGACCATAAGTTATATAGTATTGTGACATTAATATATTTAATTAATAAAATATATATTTAATTAATTTTTTTTATAAATAAAATTTTATTAATGTATGACTTTTAAAATAATAAATTTTGTTTCTTAGTTTTGAAAAGAGTAATACTTAACCTCATAGATATGAAAATTCTCCCATATCAAATTTCATTGTATTTTTTTTGGGTTGGACCCATACATTTGATGGGCTAGATACCTACTTTAGATGGACCGAGGAATTTAAGTTTTTGGCCAATAAGGTTTATATCACCTATTTCAAAATTAAGAACAAATTCAAAAATCAAATATTTATTAAAATCTATTTATTGATTAATTAATTAATTATATATATTAAAGTCATGGATCTATACAATTTGATCACAAATTAACGATTTAGTTAGTCACATATTATTTTTCGGTCATAAATCAAAAAATTTATAGGTAATAATTTATTCATCGATCACAAAATCAAAAATTTTATAGCTCACAATTTATTCATTGGTTACAAATCACAAATTTTATAAGTCACAAATCATCTAATTAATTATCCACAAGTTATTTCTCGATCTTAACTGAGTCACAATCACAATTTTCAGATTGCATATTATTTGTTGGTCACAAATTTGATCACAAACAACCCCACGCAATCCCATCCCTACGCACGACCACAACCGCATCACCGCCTCAACTGATACAATCATGACCACTACCAGTGCACACTAGAGCAACCACAATACTAATCATAGCCACCACACACCACCAACCACATAGCCATGACTAACCACACCACACCGCGCCGCACCGCAACCACACTTCATCGCAACCGTAAAATTGCAACCACAACACCGCACCATCTAATCCCATCGTCATCATAACTCATCAGATCTAATCAAAGCCACCGCTAATGCATCGTGGAGTTTTTGGACGGCGAGGGTAGAGAGAAATGGGAGAGGAAGAGAGAATGAGGGAGCACGGTATAGAGAGAATAGATTGGAAAATAATCAAAGGAGAGTAGATAGTAGTGGGATGAATATGTAAAATGATTTAATTTTTGTAATAATATTATTATTATTTATAATAGTATATTATTATCTGATTTTTGTATAAAAAACCTTCAAATCTATTTTTGAAGTTGAATCTTAAAAATTTGAAAAAAGCCCTATGTATGGGGAAAACTTCACAGATGTCTACAGGACAGTTACATGGAGGTGGGCTTCATGTGAAAACTTGATGGGTGTGAGCTCTATGAAAATTGTTATTTGTACATTAATTTTTGAGTTTTTAATTGACACTTGTATTGTTGTTAAGTGTTAAATTGGATAAAAAATTGTTTAAAATATAAATTGTTCAATAAAATAATAACATGTAACCATAGTTTACATGTAGAAGGTTGCGTATTCTGCATATGTAAATGTAGCACGGTTGTAAAAATTCTTGCGGGGTTTAGCCCTTGTTTGATGCTCATTACTTGAAAATAAAAATGGGAGGAATAGTATTTTTTAGAAAAATGAGTGGTTGAAAAAGAAAGAAAAGTTTTCGATTTACGTGTACTATTATTTTATGAAAGATTGTGTGGTTGAAAATATGAGAGAGAAAAATAAAATGTAATGTAATTTAATTTAACGTGGATCAAATAGGGGATTAATTTCCACTTTTTTCGGTCTTATCTATCATCATTCATCACCTCCTTCCAGATGGATGGACATATATAGGCAAGCTATCATCACAAAATCCTTCTCTCCATACTGCTCGACAATGGCATCTTCAGGCACGTCCTTTACTGTCAAAATCCTCTCAATTCATTCCCAAGAGTTCGACTACCCCACCACCACCATCCCTTCTTCTCTCCCCTTCAGGCCATACACTGCAAGAAAGCCACTTTTCTTTACTTCCGCTAAAACTTTCTCGCTTGACCCTCTTGTGCTACAGTGTAGCAGTGCGTCTGATAATGGGCGCTTCTCGAAATCACTTGTGGCCTCGGCTTTGGCTACTGAATCTGAGATGGAGGAGGAGACTGTGGAACAGCAGGAAACTGATGGTGGGGGTGTTGCTGTTGCTACAAAGCCCAAGAAAGGCAAGGCTGCTTTGCCTTTGAAGAGGGACAGAGTATGTTATATAAAGAACATTTTTTTTTTTTTTGTTTAATTGTGTGTTTTGGGAGATTTATACATGGGTTTTGCTTGGTTTTTCTAGTTAATGTTTCTGCATCCGAAAATGTTATTGATAAAGCTTATAATTTGTGTGTGTTTGATTCATCCTCCTGGGGAGCAGGCCAAGCCATGAAGGAAAGGACAAAAGGAGGTTGCTTGCTCTCAGTCTCTACCTCTTCTTTTTGACGAAACTTCAAAATCTTATATGCTACTGTGGTTTAAATGAATAAGTTCTGCTTACTCCTTTTTTTACGCCTGATTTATGCATCTGATGGCCATATGGATATGAGGGGGGTTCTCTTGATGATGTAGTTTCTTGCTCTTGTATCCTAGATTGTACTGTCAAGAGAAAATTTTCTATTGTTTTGGTTGTATTGAGTGGTTATAATTGGAGATTTTTCAATTTTGTGTATAATTGCTTTTGTTTATCAAATATCTAGGAAACGGTATCACATATCTTTAGTTTTGAACATCATTCTCCTGCCTCCCAAAAGGAAAAAAGGGATAAACCAACTTAGACACAGACACACAAAATGTAAATATATTTGCTTGATTACATTTTAGTTTCTTGGATCTAAAAGGTTTAAAGCTTAACCTAGGCTGCTGCATTCCACATCAGAATAAGCTAACTCTAATATCCTGAGAGTTTTTTGCTTAGATTTCTCTTTATTAGCCTAATATCATGTCCATGTGTTCCTTGTTACAGAATTCTGTATTCTAGGTGTCTTCTATGGTTATAGTTGCTTCATTTGAGGGTTAATTTTATGCTTACATTTGTGAGGTAGAGTATGCTCATGTGGATATGTCTCTGCTTTCTATTAGCACCCAAAGTTTTAAGAGGTTTTTCTAATTAGAACATATTCTATTAATCTTACTTTCGCTTGCAATCATTTTAAACTTTTGACAAATTCTTTCCCTTGCCTCCCAGAAAAGCAAAACAGAATGGTCTTGTTTAATGTGAGACTTCTAATATTCCACGGTTTAGAGGTTAACTTGTTTACTGCATTCGAATTGGTCTACAGGTCAATCATAATTGGTGCATAGGGGGGAAATGACTCCCTCAGTGACACATATGCCTGTCATTATACTGTGCGTATGTGTGTAGGCAGCTATGTTTTGCATTTCTTTTTTCTTATTTGTTCTTTTATACCTCTTTTGGTGCTTTCTTGGAATACTGTGGCTTTTGAGGAGTACGCTAGAAATTCATGAAATATTTTACTTCAGGAAGTCAATCTACTTCACGAGCCTGGTTTATTTGTGGATTTAGTATCTTAAATTGTTGTATTTTTTAAAGCTATCAAATACTTTGTCCTTTATTCTTAACTTGCCCTATCTTTCAACTTCTCACATGTTTAAATATTTTTTGTTTTGCTGGAATTATTAGACAAGATCCAAGAGATTTTTGGAAATTCAAAAATTGAGAGAAAACAAAATGGAGCATGACTTGAAAGCGGCAATATCATTGCTTAAGCAATCAGCGAGCACAAAGTTTGTTGAAACAGCTGAAGCCCATTTCCGCCTCAATATTGATCCGAAATATAATGATCAACAACTGAGGGCAACTGTAAATTTCCTGACGTTATATGATATATGAAACGTGTTTCAAACTATTCTTGGCTGTTCCATAGTGGGATGAAATTTTCTTTGTTTAGGTTAATTTGCCCAAAGGGACCGGTCAGACTGTTAAAGTTGCTGTTCTTACTCAAGGTAATTCATTTTCTTTAGTTACTTCTATAATTTTGTTCAGATTTGATGGTCCGCGAGCCTTTTTTGTAGATGATGTGCAGAACATTTGTATTTCTCTATAGTTCAAAGATTACATTTCTCTGCAGTGATAGCATGTCATACTTATTGAAAGTGATAGGAATAGAACATAACGAAAGATGCTACTGTCATCCAATTAAAATAGCCAAATGAACAAAACTTCAATCGACGGAATGAGAGTGTGCTGAACCCTAGGACTCTCCCAGAAGCCATTAAAGGCTTGGTCATATTCATTCGACCATCAAGAATTCATCAACTATTGTCTTGTCTTTAAAGAAATACTGAATTATAGAGATGATGTTAAATAGTTGCGATCCACGGGAAACATCAGCTGCCAGTCTTGCCTAACTACTTGCAATAAATTTTATCCTTATATAAATGGTTATAATATATCTTCATTGTCCATGCTATGGAATTTACTTGAAAGTGACATGATGAGGAAAATGTTTTGATGGATTAATTTCATGTATCAAGATTTAGTTCATGTAGAATTATATACAATTGAAGTCAAGTCAGTAACCAAATTATCCATTGCATGACTAGAAACTACGGAATTGTCCTCCTGAACGGTGATTAGGATGGGTGAAAGAGAAAATGTTTCACTTATTGAGATTACGTAGATTGTTACAATAAATAATACAGATAAATATTTAGTTATCTAAACAGGAATAAATTATTGTGAGAGATTTTAAAGCATGCACAAGATTAATAGTTCGGATAAAAATTATCTCCAGTATGGATTGTGTAAAACCAAATGAAGTAGAAAAAGAGGGGTTGAAGAATATATTATAAGATCAGAGATTTTTTGCCTTTGTAGCTTAGCATTATTAGTTTCTGATCTCCTATTCACCCTCATTCAAATTTTGTCAAACACAGTGATACCATCTAGTTAGTCTTATTGTTGTACAGTTAAATTTCTGTAGGTGAAAAGTTCGATGAGGCGAAAAATGCAGGAGCAGATCTTGTTGGTGGAGAGGACTTGATAGCACAGATAAAAGGAGGATTCATGGATTTTGACAAATTAATTGCCACACCCGATATGATGCCTAAGGTATCATTATGCTATTAACATCATGATAAATTACATGGATTGTTGCATCACATTGCCAATTTCCTTTGCTCATCATAATCTCACTATTCTCTTCCTACTGAAAAAATAATAAAAAATGCTACTTCGATATATCTTCTGTAAACTTCGCTGGTAACCCCCCCCCCCCCCCCCTCTTTTTTTTTTTTTTAAGAAAGTGAATAGCCACATGATAAATATCTGTCCACTGGCTCTGGTGACTTTTCCATTTTCAAAAACATAGTAATTTGGTCCTTCCTGATATGCTCAGTGTATGTCCAATGTTATTCTTGTTATTGCTCATTGCCTAACTCTATTTCTATATCTTCTTTAGTTCCACCACTTCGAGGGAGCTACCTTATCCACTTTGGTGGTTTGAAACATGGAGCTCTTGTCTGTATGTAGTCCGAAAATCATGAAAATCTGTTACATGTTCCATCATGTTAACTGATCTTGGAACATTATGTGCTTTATGGGTCACTTTCTGAAAATGACCATTTTATCATAGCAGACTTATTTTTCATCCCTGCTCTCTTTGGCGTTCTCTATTGAACTTTTACTCTCCAGAAACTGGAAATCAAGCGCCTGACTTCCAATAAATCTAGATGTTAATGATAGACTTTCTAAGCAAGAGGCTTTAACACCCCCCCCCCCCCCCGCCCCCCTCATCTGTTTTATCAGTTTATGTTTTTCAATTGATATCAAAATTTCAGAATATATTGCATTTATTGCTAAAAATTTACTTCTGTATTGGAAGAGAGTGCAACATCATTTTACGAGTTAAAAGTCATAATCGCGTACACTATCGAAAGCATTTTCCGCCTATGTTCCAGGTCTTAAGTAGTGTGGACTTTATTGAAGCAAGCGTTTTTAAATTCTTTATATAGCTGATATAAGTTCGGTGCAGGCTATAGAGGAATTTAAGAAGGGGAAGGTTGAATATAGAGCTGATAAAACAGGGATTGTTCACTTGCCTTTTGGAAAGGTTGATTTTTCAGAGGAAGATCTGATGATAAACTTTCTTGCTGCTGCGGTATGTCGTAAAATTTGATCATTTTTTTGTTTAATCTATATCTTTTCTCGTGCTGCAGCAACAGTCCAAATGCATCAATAACACATTTGCTTCAATTGTGTTAATTTTCCAGAAATCAGTAGAAGCAAACAAGCCATCCGGAGCTAAAGGTGTGTACTGGAAAAGTGCCCATGTGTGCTCATCTATGGGTCCATCAATCCGGTTAAACATAAGGGATATGCTCGACTACAAGCCCCCATCAACTGCTTAGAGTACACAAAAACCTATGTAAAGATTTTTGGCATTTGATTAACTTCTTTATTGCACAAGTGCCCTTGTTTTAGCAGAAGGTATAGAAAAAGGAAGATGTCTGAAAGGAGAGTTTATGCTCCAGTTGACCATCAGTCTCGAATCGTTTTGTAGTTTATGCAATTTTATGTTTCATATAATCAAATTCTAGCATGCATTTCTCGTCCTGCACAAACGTACAAATAAACCAATCTTTAAAGGACCTTTTTTATATACTGTAAAAGTTACGTTTATCACTGCAAGTCAAAAAAGTAACTGATTTTGAATTACAATAGCTATTTTTAAGTAAAAATGATCATTGAAAGGACTCGGATAGTTGCAATATGTCGACAAAATAGTTAAACAATTAGTAAATAGACCACTCACAATCTTTTTGCAGATTGTTGAGCAAAAGGAATTATGCAACAAGAAAATACTTTACACAGCTAAACGGAAGAAAAAGTGACTTGGTATGTATCGCATCTAGCTTACAACAATGATATCCACGTGAGATCAGAGGACCTTAGCAGTAGTTTCCTGCCAACCGAGCCCCAATAGATCCCCAATTTTCACCACTGCTCCACACTGCAAATTGGCACAAGAAAGACGTCAACATGTAATAGAGATCAGCTTCAAACAATGGGGTGTATGTAATTAAACTACTGACGGCTAACCTTTTGAGGGCTGCTCAATCCAAGGTCCATTCATTACAGTAAGAATGCTGCAAGCTTCGCTATATTCAAGATTTGGCAGTAATTTTGGTGTTAGCAAGAAGCACCTGCACAGCATTTGAATGATTATTACATTTCGAGCTAATTCCAGTTACTTTGGTAATGCAGAAAGAGGCCCTGGTCTCTGATACAACCAACTGATAAAGGGAGATGAATTGATCGACTAAATGATATATAAGAGAACAAATTATTGCCGCAGAGGATTTAAAAATTCTATTATGTAACAGATAGCAGACAATGTTAATGCAGGCAGCTGTTAGTTATTAATGAATGTGATGAACATGAATATACTTCCCAAACATGTAAAGTGACTTCAGTAACTAGTCGACCAAAAAGGGTAAAATAAAAGCAATCTCTTACTGTGGTGTATTTGGTTGGCTGGCAGCTCGGACCAATTGTTGAAACATATTTCTCTCATTTATGGGGTCCATACCTTGGAAGAAATAAGAAATATTGATAATTCCTTCTGTTCAATAAACATATAACATTGCAACGAGACTTGGCCGGTTAAAAATGTTAACCAACCTTGATTTATTTCATCAACTACCCTAAATGGGCAGTTGGTAAGATCTTGTAAAGAGACAAGGTAAAGAATGGTTGAAACAGAGCGTTCCTAAAAAGTAAGGTGTCAGAAGGAAATTAGTAGCCATAGCAAGAAGATCTTGTACAGAAAAACTCAACCATATGCCATACCCCTCCAGATTGGTGGTGAGCACTTAAAACCTGAAGCTGTCCTGTTTGCCTGGTGATCACAGTGGAAATTAATAAAAATAATATAAAAATGTAGTAATAGGAAAAAAATCCACAACCAAAATCCACATCACTAAGATGCCACAGATAATACATATAGAATGAAATCACTATAAGTCTGAAAGTGTCACATAACATCCACTTCCTATGCGCAGGACTCTCTCCTCTATCTTCGTATATATTGATAAGATGTGTCTGCTACAGAATTACACAAACTCAAAAACAGCAGCAGGTTTTTATAAAATGAAACACTTTTGATGCAACCAAGTAATTTGCTTGAGAAAGAAATAAGTACAACGAGCTAATTCCAGTTACTTTGGTAATGCAGAAAGAGGCCCTGGTCTCTGATACAACCAACTGATAAAGGGAGATGAATTGATCGACTAAATGATATATAAGAGAACAAATTATTGCCGCAGAGGATTTAAAAATTCTATTATGTAACAGATAGCAGACAATGTTAATGCAGGCAGCTGTTAGTTATTAATGAATGTGATGAACATGAATATACTTCCCAAACATGTAAAGTGACTTCAGTAACTAGTCGACCAAAAAGGGTAAAATAAAAGCAATCTCTTACTGTGGTGTATTTGGTTGGCTGGCAGCTCGGACCAATTGTTGAAACATATTTCTCTCATTTATGGGGTCCATACCTTGGAAGAAATAAGAAATATTGATAATTCCTTCTGTTCAATAAACATATAACATTGCAACGAGACTTGGCCGGTTAAAAATGTTAACCAACCTTGATTTATTTCATCAACTACCCTAAATGGGCAGTTGGTAAGATCTTGTAAAGAGACAAGGTAAAGAATGGTTGAAACAGAGCGTTCCTAAAAAGTAAGGTGTCAGAAGGAAATTAGTAGCCATAGCAAGAAGATCTTGTACAGAAAAACTCAACCATATGCCATACCCCTCCAGATTGGTGGTGAGCACTTAAAACCTGAAGCTGTCCTGTTTGCCTGGTGATCACAGTGGAAATTAATAAAAATAATATAAAAATGTAGTAATAGGAAAAAAATCCACAACCAAAATCCACATCACTAAGATGCCACAGATAATACATATAGAATGAAATCACTATAAGTCTGAAAGTGTCACATAACATCCACTTCCTATGCGCAGGACTCTCTCCTCTATCTTCGTATATATTGATAAGATGTGTCTGCTACAGAATTACACAAACTCAAAAACAGCAGCAGGTTTTTATAAAATGAAACACTTTTGATGCAACCAAGTAATTTGCTTGAGAAAGAAATAAGTACAACGAAACGAAAGATTCACCTGAACTTAACTTTTATCAGGATACCATATTGATCGAAGTCCATGTCATGTTCATCTGAAAAAGAGGTAAAAAAAACACTGATCAAATAAAGAAATATTAGAACTCCTCAAAATTTGTTATTTAGTAGATAAAAGACAATGACCTAAAGACACCTCTCCTGCAACTGCCATTTCTTGGAAATTGCGACTAAAAGTTTCATTAATTTGAGTCACAAGACTTCTCAGTGTTGGAAGCCAACTTTCCTGCAGACAGATTATAGTCAGAATACACCAGTTGTCTGTCAAGTCTGACAAGCATGTTGGCATCAACAAAAAACCATCATATCTTAATCTTCTATTACTACAAAGAAAAATAAAATTTCTGTTGGATGATACAATCTGTCGGACGATTGATCAGTGATTACCGTCAAAGAAATATGGGAGGAACTTTATCAACCAACAAAAAATTTTGCTGGTCAATTTAATAAAAACAAAGTTCTAAAATTGGTTAATGATCCACCACTGGAAAAAGGTCGCGGAAAATGATGCTATTATCTTTTTATAAAATAGAACATAAGAGATGTTTTATATCAATTGGTAAACAAATATACAATATGTCACTTTGTCTTTTTCCATTGTTAATCCCTCGATCGTTTCAACATTAAGGGCATATACTGTCTCCCTCCCTCTCTCTCAAAATCTACCTTTGTTACTCTCCCTCGTGCTGTTTCTCATCAGAATCAATCCTGCAACTGCTGTTAGATTAAAAACACAACCATTCTTCCCTCCCTTCCCCAGTAACCCCTGCCAGGCCGTCAAATGCCACACCCACAACCCCCTCCCCCACATTTCAAGGCCAACCCATCTCATCCTGTACCCCAACCATACTGACGTTGTCCAATAAATGTTTCAAAGACTTCATTTCATTTTTTCCTTCAAAGTTTCATTTTCAAGGTAATTATTAAATTTCTTTGTTCATTTTTGTAATTATTTAGTTAACTTTGTTCGTTTATATTATTTTTTATAATAATTTATAACGTTCACGTGCACAATGGTTTCCACATGCCAACAAATGCATGCTCAAACCAGACTACATCTTATTCCTTAGTTTTAAAAATAAAATTAGGAGAATGCCAAGCAATCAAGATTGATTATGTTGGGTTGGTTCAAAAATCTGGATGTTACTTTTAAGAGGGAACATATCAGTCATTGAATTAAGAGAGTAACTTTCCCACTGGATTTAATTTGTTTATTCTTAAATTTTAATTTATAAGAACATTAATTGCTAGTTTGATTTCCAAGACATGCTGAGAGACTGAGAGCTCAAGGACTAAAAAGCAGGGGGACTTGGGCAAGATGGCATGCGGCAGCAGTGAGAACCCTATCACAGTCTGAGCTCATCGAGCTTATGCATACAACCCCTAACACCAATGTCCCCAACCCACCGCTGACAGATAGCACACCTATTGGCAGAGAGTGCCCAATGATCTGGAAATTTCATATTGATCCTTCTATTAACAACTATCATTAGAAGATGAATACAATTACTGACAGATTTTCCTATTTGCAGTTGTGAATTTTTGTAGCTCTTTCTTCCGTTTCTGTTTCTATTCCAAAACAATTACTGGTAAAACAGTAGTCAAGATAATCCAGATCACTTAACCTTCAAAGCATTGATTTCAACTACTCGGCTATGTAGTTCCTTCTCATCCATTTCTTGTTTCTGACTTAGGTCTTCTATCTGCACAATGCATTCATTTTACCACAGAAAGGAAAAGGAAAACATGTAAATAAAGAGTTGTCACAAGCAAATTTTTCCTGAAGAAATGAAAAAAGTGAGATATACTTTTCTCCGACGGCCTTCATATTCTTCCAGAATGTTGTGATTAAGAAAAAGAATAGAATTGGCTTGAGAAATAGTATCTTGAATTGCAGCTTCCAGTTCCTCAATAGAAACAGGCATCTGTGGGTAATATTTCCAAATGAGCACCGACAAACTCATAAATGAATAAGCACACAAAGTAGTGATAAACAATATTTCAGAGAGTTTAAAGGTGTGGAGAGTAGTATTCCCTTTTCTTGTTCATTTGCTTTTAAAATAAGACCCCGTACATCTATAGATTCAAATTTTTTTTCCTTGATAGTGCTGATAGAGCTGAATTTTCTTACTAGTTATTTGGCTTGTTTCAATTTCTAGTTATAAATAATGTCATAAGAAGAATCAGATACAAAAAAATTGAGACCATGTCATTCCCTCTAACTGGAACCTGAAATAAAATAGGAACGAGCAAGCAATTTAGTACTCCCCAACTGTTGAAAGAATGCTAAGTAGGAAGAAACGGTCACCACTCACCAGAATCTTTTAGCAGATCTACTATTAAAGAATGCCAAATACTAAAACTAGCTTTATCCTGGCCCAACCGTTGAGAATTTAGTAAAATATT